GTTTATAACCATAGCCCCTATGTGATGTATGCAAGGTAAGGAGGGGAGTGAAGGCAGGAGAGAACTGATGGAAAGCTGAAAGTAGATGGTGGGGTCAGTGAGCAAAGAGAGCTAGAAAAAGAGGAAGTGGATTTGGAAGGTGAAATCTTTGATGTCAAGATTTCAAAGAAGTGCAGTTGCTTGTGATGATAAGACAGGATAAGACTGTCGCTGTGGCGCAGCAGGTAAGCTGCTGCGCGCAGTGCCGGCATCCCATATGAGTGCCGGTTCTAGTCCTGGCTGCTCCACTTCCAATCCAGCTCTCTGCTATGGCCTGTGAAAGCAGTGGAAGATGGCCCAAGTCCCTAGGCCCCTGCACCATGTGGGAGAACTGGAAGAAGCTCATGGCTCCTGGCTTCAGATCAGCGCAGCTCCAGCCCTTGTGGCCAACTGGAGAATGAACCAGTGGATGGAAGCTCTCTTTCTCTCTTCCTCTCCTCTTCTCTCTGTATAACCCTGACTTTCAAATAAGTAAGTAAATCTAAAATAAAATTTAAAAAAAAGACTGAGGATAAGACAGTGAGAGTGTGTGTCTGAGGGAGATCAGGGGAGAAGGACCAGGGCAAACAGCTGACTGACCAAAGCACTGGAATTATGAACCAAGGAAACTCTGAGCTCCTTTAGCTAAGCACTAAAGGGAGTGATATTGGAGATAAACAGGAAGTTGGCAGGTGGCAGCAAAAAAGGGGGAGACTTGGTTTTAAGCCCAAGTGAAGAGAATCTCAAAAGATAAATGACTTTTGGGGGAGGGTGTGATGAAGCTAGGAGTAATGGGGTGGAAGTAGCAAGAAGGAACATGCACACCAAACTGTCTCAATAAAATAAATTGGAAAATATCTTAAAGTCTCAGTGTCCTTCTGTAGCAGCAAGATCAATAAAAGCATAAAAGAAAAAGAATTAAGGAGGTAAAGGGAGCATTCCAAGAAGAGATAAGGCTGGTAGGGAATTTGTTGATCAATGATGAAATTTCAGAGTCACGGAATAAGGGTCTGGGAATCAGTATATAAGTTGGAAATTAGGTTGGATTGGATGATGTACAGAGCAGTAAAGCTACAAAAAACTGGTGAATTCATGACCTAGGAAGCCTTGGGTGAAAAGGTAAATGGGGCTTATCTGAGGGAACCTGCCACAAAAAGAAATGGATTTATTATTTGTCCTTTGGTTCTTCGAGCCATCCAAACTTATTAATGTCTTCTTAATTTCTGAAGCAACAAGACAAATACCCCATCCAATTTTCTGCTAGTAAACATACTCAGGCAGACTAGAAGATACAACCAGGGGAACATGAGCTCATAGGTAACAGGAAGTATCACCATTATTAAAGATATTGCAGGATGAATAAGCACTGCATGAAAGAGAATGCTTTTTAAAAATGACTACTGATATTAAGTAAAAGAATATCCAGTGTGGCAGGATATAGAAGTTGTTAGAAAGCACCAATGGGACATATTTAGAATGAAAAATGTGATGATTTAATTGCAGAACACAATAAATGTGATAAAATACAAAATGCATATATCTAAAGACAAATTTATGAGCCCAAAGGTCAGTTAGAGCTGACTCTCAATAGAGTTTCTCAATCAGTAAAAGCAATCATAAAACCACATGAAATACCACTATGTACCCATGAAAAAGTAATAAAGCCCATGACCAGCATCCTATTGAATGAAGAGGAGCTGGAAGCATTCCCCCTAAGATACAGAACCTGGCAAAGATGCCAACTCACACCATTGCTATTTAATATAGTCCTAGAAGTTTTAGCCAGAGCCATTAGCCAAGAAAAAGAATCTAAAGGGATACGAATTGGAAAGGAGGAAATCAAACTGTCCCTATTTGCAGATGACATGATTCTAAATATAGGGGATCCAAAAGACTCCAGTGAGAGAATTCGGAACTCATAAAAGAGTTTGGTAAAGTGGCAGGATATAAAATCAACACACAAAAATCAGTAGCCTTTGTATATACAGACAATGCCATGGCTGAAAAAGAACTTTTGAGATCAGTCCCATTCACAATAGCTCCAAAAAGAATTAAATACCTTGGAATAAATGTAACTAAGGATGTCAAAGATCTCTATAATGAAAATTATAAAACACTAAAGCAAGAAATAGAAGAAGACATTAAAAATGGAAAAATCTTCCATGTTCATGGATTGAAAGAATCAACATCATCAAAATGTCCATGCTACCAAAAGTAATTTACAGATTCAATGTGATCCCAGTCAAAATTCCTATGACATTCGTCACAGATCTAGAAAAAAAATGATGCTGAAACTCATATGGAAACACAAGTGACCCTGAATAACTAAAGCAATGTTATACAACAAAAACAAAGCCAGATACAGCACAATACCTGATTTCAAGACATATTACATGGGGGCCAGCGCCGTGACTCACTTGGTTAATCCTCCGCCTGCGGTGCCGGCATCCCATATGGGCGCTGGGTTCTAGTCCTGGTTGCTCCTCTTCCAGTCCAGCTCTCTGCTGTGGCCCTGGAGGGCAGTGGAGGATGGCCCAAGTACTTGGGCCCCTGCACCCACGTGGGAGACCAAGGAGAGTCACCTGGCTCCTGACTTCAGATCAGCCCAGCACCAGCTGAGGCAGCCTTTAGGGGAGTGAACCAATGGAAGGAAGACCTTTCTCTCTGTCCTCTCTGTCTATAACTCTACCTGTCAAATAAAAATATTAAAATAAAAAAAGATAAATGGCAAAATAAAGTGTTTTATGAAAATGCAAAAAAAGACATATTACAGGGAAGTTATAATCAGAACAGCCTGGTAGTGGCACAAAAACAGATGGATAGACCAGTGGAACAGAATAGAAACTCCAGAAATCACACCATTCATGTACAACCAACTTATCTTTGACAAGAAGCAAAAATCAATCCCTGTAGCAAGGTACTACACATGGTACTGTGAAAATGGATCTCTGCATGCAGAATTATGAATCCAGACCCCTACCTTACACCTTACACAAAAATCCATTCAAAATGGATCAAGGTCTAAAATCTATTACCCAATACCATCAAATTATTAGAGAACATTGGGGAAACCCTGCAAGACACTGGCAAAGACTTTTTGGAAAAGACCCAGAAGCAAAGGTAATCAAAGCCAAAATTGACAAATGGGATTACAAAATCCATTTAAAATGGATCAAGGTCCAAAATCTATTACCCAATACCATCAAATTATTAGAGAACATTGGGGAAACCCTGCAAGACATTGGCAAAGACTTTTTGGAAAAGACCCCAGAAGCAAAGGTAATCAAAGCCAAAATTGACAAATGGGATTACATCAAATTGAGAAGTTTTTGTACTGCAAAAGAAACACTCATCAAAGTGAAGAGGCAGCCAACAGAATGGGAGAACGTATTTGCAAACTATTCAACTGCTAAAGGATTAACATCCAGAATTCATAAAAAGATCAAGAAACTCAACAACAACAAAACAGATTATCCAGTTGAGAAATGGGCAAAGAACTTGAACAGGCATTTTTCAAGAGAAGAAATTCAAATGGTCAACAGACACTTGAAAAAATGCTGGGGATCACTAGCCATCAGGGAAATGCAAATCCAAACCACAGTGAAGTTTCACCTTGCTCCAGTTAGAAAGGCTGTCATACAGAAACCAACAAGCAACAATTGCTGGCAAGGATGTGGGGGGAAAGATACCTGGTCCACTGTTGGTTGGAATGCAAACTGGTGCAGCCAATGTGGAAGATAGTATGGAGATATCAGAAATCTGAATATATATACTTACCATATGATCCAGCCATCCCACTCCTAGCAGTTTACCCAAACTAAAAGAAATAGGCATGTGAAAGAGTTATCTGTATCCCCATGCTCATTGCAGTACAATTCACAGTAGCAAAGAAATAGGAATCAACCCATCAACTGTTAACTAAAGAAATTATGGTATATATACACACTATGGAGTACTACTCACCTATAAAAAAAAATAAAATCCTGTCTTTTGCAACAAGATGGATGGAGCTGGAAACCATTACACTTAGTGAAATAAGCCAGTCCCAAAAAGACATATATGATATGTTTTCACTCATCTGTGGCAACTAACAGATTACCCATATGTGATGTATTTTAGTGAAAAGGACATTTCGAGATTTGATGATTGTTTACAGCCCTTGTCTCTTTTTTAAAAAATGATTTTATTTATTTGAGAGGTAGAGTTACAAACAGTGAGAGGGAGAGACAGAGAGAAAGGTCTTCCTTCCGTTGGTTCACTCCCCAAATGGCTGCAATGGCCAGAGTTGTGCCAATCCGAAGCCAGGAACCAGGCACTTCTTCCTGGTCTCCTATGTGGGTGCAGGGGCCCAAGGACTCGGGCCATCTTCTATGGCTTTTCCAGGCCGTAGCAGAGAGCTGGATCAGAAGAGGAGCAGCCAGGACTAGAACAGGAGCCCATATGGGATGCTGGCGCTGCAGGTGGAGGATTAACCTACTGCGCCAAAGCACCAGCTCCAGCCCTTGTCTCTTCTGTTGAGGAACAGTATATTTTTCCCCTTCATACTATTTGTTGAACTGTTTTACTTAGTGTAGGGTTAACTTTATAATATTAAGTAAACTGATTATCAATCTTTGTAAAATTTAAGAATGTGAGACAGAGGAGGAAGAAGGTTTGGAGCTTGGATTGGGGAAGTATCACTATGTTCCTAAATCTGTATATATGAAATATATGAAACTTGTTTAACTTAAATAAAAAAATTTTTTAAAATGAAAAAATCAAATAATAGTAATACCAAATGCTAGCAAAGATTTAAGAAATTTATCATCCATACAATTTTGGTAGGAATATAAAATGATACAGCCACTCTAGATAATAGTTTGGCAATTTAGTTTTTAAATAAAATGAAACAGGAGACTGAGAAAGATGGCTGCTGAGTAAGATCCACTTATTAACTCCACACAGAAATACCAATTTGAATAGCCATTCACGTACCAGCCTACCTGTAGAAGAACTGGGAAAACCAAGTGAAAGTCCATAATGCCTGTATTTAATTGGTAATAAGAAAGTATGCTTGAAGAAAGCAAAAAGGAAAGAGTTGTCCACATCCTTTCCCCCTTGCAAACTCTGAACAGCACAGCATGGAGAGACATGCGTTCCACCTAGAGAGAGAGAGAGACAAGGAATTATATCTAGACCTGAGTTTAGTGCCAGTAGCAGGTCTGGTATAGTGAAAAGCCCATACTGGGCAGAGTCCCACAGCTCATGCTCCTCAGGTCAGTATCCATAAGTTAAGCCTTTAGAAGTGCATTTACCAAATGGCTAAGGTATTGCCTCTACCACCCCCATCCAAACTTGGGCTGCATAGCACAGAGGAAGACTCCTCCGCTGGCAATAGTCAGGAACATGAACATAGGATTATTCTTTACAGAGTGTGGAAGTACAAAATCCCTTATTAAAAAGGGAAATAAGCATATAACATTGTCGACCTATCTGTTGAGATCAACCCTGAAGCAAGTGCCACCTCACTTGGCAAGGAAAGGGTAAGCAGGAAGCCATGGCAGTCCCCACTTATGCCACAAATACTTGAGGCATTTACCACTGTGGATTCCTAAAACACTTGCAGCCACTTCAGCCCAGTCTGGGGAGCTGTTGAGTTGCTACAGCAACTGAGAAGCAGATGCTCATTCCTGTCCATCCTCTCTTGGCTCAACAGCCGTCCTGGAACAGGTCAGCTCTTAGAGGCCCCATGAAGTTACCTGTTCAGCCCTTGAATACTGACAGGTAGCTCCTCTGGGCACAATGGTATGGCCTATCCTCTCTGCAGTCCTCAGACCCTGACAGGCATCTCACCCTGCTTTGGGGCATGCCATGCTACACCAACCCAGGCCCATGGGGGTGGCCTCACCCTCACATGACCCACAGAAATTGATAGGTACCCTGACCCACAGCTACATGCACTACACCTAGAGCTGCTAGCAAATTTGTCCTACTTCAGGGAGCTGAATCTCAACTGGTGGGGCAGTTCCACCACAGCCCCTACAGCCAGACCACTGAGACACTTGCAAACTTTACCGATGTTGGTTATAGCTGATGAAGTCACATGGACACTAGACTAAACTCCCACCCAGATCCAAAACCAATGCAGCACCTACAACCAATATACTTGCCAGAAGAATTAGAAAATTAGTACTATCTGACCAGCCACATACTCAAAAACCAATTTAGGGACACAAGAAACATGAAAAAAATAGAGTAACATGATATGCACTCTAGCAACAGAACATAAAGAAGTAAAAATTGATGAACTGCTTGAAAAGAATTCAAAATAATAACTTTAAAGAAAAGTAATGAAACAAAAATGCAATGTTATACAGAGAGTTCAACAAAATTTGGAAGATAATTCATAATATGAATGAGAAATTTAACAGAGAGATTATAGAAAAGGCTTAATGAGAAATCTTGGAGCTAAATAAATAAATAAGTGAAATAAAAAGTACAGTTGAGAGCCTCTACAGCAAAAATGACCATGCAGAAGAAGGAATGTCTGAGCCTGGAGAAGGTCTTTTGAAATAATCCAGTCAGAAAGAAAAAAGAAAATATTAAAAGAACAAAGAAAATCTTAAGACTTATGGGGATACCATTTGGGGTTTCTGCTTTGGCATAGAAGGTTAAGCCTTGGCCTGCAGTTCTGACATCCCATATAGGCTCCAATTCAGGTACCAGCTGTGCTACTTCTGATTCAGCTCCTTGCTAATGTGCCTGGGAAAGCAGTGAAGGATGGCCCAAGTGCTTGGATTCGTGCACCCACATGAGAGACCCAGAAGAAGCGCCTGGCTTCAGCCTGGCTGAGCTGCAGCCATTTGGGGACTGAACCAGCAAATAGAAGATAACTAACCCCTCCCCTCCTCTCTCCTCTCCCTGAATTTCTGCCTTTCAATCAATAAAATAAATTTTTTTTTCAAAAGACTCATGGGGACACCATCAAGCAACCAAACATTTGTAGAATGAGTGTTGCAGAAGGAAAAGATAAGTTAAAAGTCAAGAAAATTTATTCAGTGAAATAATTGCTGAAAATTTTCTAAATCACAGGAAATATGTGGACATCCAGACCCAGAAAGTCCAAAAAACTCATAGTAAATTCAAATAGTAATCATCCTCTTCAATGTATATAATAGTCCAACTGTAAAAATGCAAAGAATGAATTCGTTTTTTTTGTTTGTTTTTTTTTTTTTTTTTTTTTGGACAGGCCAGAGTTAGACAGTGAGAGAGAGGGAGAGGGAGAGGGAGAGAGAGAGAAAGGTTTTCCTTCTTCTGTTGGTTCACCTCCCAAGTGGCTGCTACGGCCATGCTGCGCTGATCCGAAGCCAGGAGCCAGGTGCTTCCTCCTGTTCTCCCATGCAGGTGCAGGGTCCGAGGACCTGGGCCATCCTCCACTGCACTCCCGGGCCGCAGCAGAGAGCTGGACTGGAAGAGGAGCAACCAGGACAGAATCTGGCGCCCTGACCCGGACTAGAACCCGGGGTGCCAGCCCCACAGGCAGAGGATTAGCCTAGTGAGCCGCTGCGCCAGCCACAAATGATGAATTCTAAAATTAGCCAAAGAAGTGTCACATCACTTACAAAGAAACTCCCATTACTCTCATGACAGACATTTTGGCAGATACTTTAAATACTAGGAGAGACCAGGGTAAAATATTCAAGATCCTGAAGGAAAAAGATGTCCAGAATACCAGAATACTGTGAGGATAATTTTAAAAGTTCATAGAAAATGAAATTAAAAGATAAATCAATGTTGGGACAAGTAAACTTTAAGCTATTTGTAGTTTTTCATAGTACTCATTTGGCATAAACTTGGAATTCTGTGTCCTTAAGAATGAAGGAGAAATAACAAATAAAAGCTGATGGAATTCATCAACACCAGATTGAAATGCTTAAGGAAATCCTACATTAGAAGTGAAAGGACAATAAGTACCCACATGAAAGTACAAATAGTAATGGTAGAACAAATAGACAAAAGAGAACGAGGAGAAAGATTAGTGATTCTTATTTTATTTTTACTTTTTTTCCGAATTTGGTATACATTTAGTTAAGGATTTTTCACCTTTATCAGTTAGGACTATAGTTTTGTAATTATTTTTATTACACACATTAGGTTTTGATAAGAAGGTTATGTTGGTCTCTTAAAATAGGTTGGAAAGTGTCTCATCCTCTATTTTCTGTCTTATTATTTCTTCTTTACATGTTTATTAAAATTCACCATTTGAAATCATTTAGGCCGTTAGTGATCTCTGGGAAAATTTTTTTCAGTTTATTTCTGCACTTGAGGCTATTGAAATTTTTTTCTGTGTCAGTTCCTTGAGTTTGTGTTGATGAAGAAATAGGTGTCCTTCACATACAAAATTGTTGTCTTAAAATTGCTTACAATTCTTTAAAAATTAAAAATAGAGCTGCCCTATGATTCAGTAATCCCACTGCTGGGTATGCAGACAAAGGAAATGAAGTCGGTGTATCAAAGAGACTTTTTCGTTCTCATGTTTACTGTAGCAGCATTCACTATAGTCAACATACAGAATCACCTGAAGTGTATATCAACAAATGACTAAAGAAAATATGGTATATGTATATAATGGGATATTATTCAGCTATGAAAAGGGATGAAATTCTGTCATTTGCAACACCATGGATGAACCTGGAAGATACCATGTTAGGTGAAATAACCCAGGCAGGGAGGCAATGTGGCATGGTGGGTAAAGCCACTGCATGCAAACCTGGCATCCCATATGGGCACCAATTATAGTCCTGGCTGTTCCACTTCCAATTCAATTCCCTACTAATGTGCCTGGGAAAAGAGTGGAAGATGGGCCAAATGCTTGGGCCCCTTCACCCACATGGCCTTCTTCACCCAGAAGAAGCTCTTCACTTCAGCCTGGCCTAACCCAGTCATTGCAGCCGTTTGGGGAGTGAGTTGGTGGATAGAAGATCTTGGTCTCTATCTCTCTATCTGTTTAACTGCCTTTCAAATAAATAAATCTAAAAAAAAGATGAATACTACATTATCCCACTTATATGGAATCTCAAAAAGTTGATCTCATAGAAGCTGAGAGTAGAACTGTGGTTATGAGAGGGTGAGAAGGGGAGAGGTTCAGAAAAAATAAGAAGTCAATGGGTACAGTGTTATAGATTAATGATGTTCTCACCCCCAAAAAAGTGATGAATATTTGAGGTAGCAGATATGCTAATTTTCTAATTTGACCATTATACAATGTATACATACATTGAAGCATCACATTATAGTACCCCATAAATATGTATAATTATGTATCAGTCAAAAATAAAATAAAAACAGGCACTCAACTACCCTATGACCTACTGATTATACTCCTTGGCTTTTTAAAAAAAACTTTTTTAAAGATTTATTTATTTATTTGAAAGTGAGAGTAACAGAAAAACAGGGAAAGACAAACAGAGGTTTTCTGTCTGCTGGTTCTCTCCCCAGATGGCCACAACAGCCAGTGCTAAGATAGGCCATAGACAGAAATGAAGAGCTCCACTGGGGTCTCCATCATGGGTGGCAGGGACACAACCACTTGGGCCATCTTCCACTTCTTTCCAACGAGCATTAGCAGGGAGCTGGATCAGAAGCGTAGCATCCAAGATTGAACCAGCACTCATGTGCGATGCTGGTGTTGCAGGCGACAGTTTTACCCACTACACCGCAGTGCCAGCCCCCTATACTCCTTGGCTTTTATCCAAGAGAAATGAAAACATTCACACAAAAACCTGTAAACAGTGTTCATAGCACCTTTATTTATGATAGCCATAAACTGTCAGTAGCCTGTATATCTACCAGTTGGTAAATAACAGTGTGGTGTTCCACTTTCTATACCATGAAATACTCCTGAAGCAAAGATAAGAAATAAATTACTGATGCATGCATAGGTGGATGTTAAGAGCTTTATGCAACCCAATCTTGAAGAGCTGCATGCTGTAAAAATCCTAGAGATTAAAAAAATTATAAAGAATATATAAATGGGGGGCCAGTGCTATAGCTCAGTGGGTTAAGGCCCCAGCCTGAAGCACTGGTTTCCCATGTGGGTGTTGGTTCAAGTGTCAGCTGCTCCACTTCCAATTCAGCTCCATGCTAATGCACCCAAGAGGGC